TTGGCACCAATAGCAAAATCTTCTTATAGCTACAGACATTTCCAAAATTATATAGTATTGTATTTATAAAATTATTATTACTCTTACTTACAAGCATGTTTTATCTAATATATAAAATATCTTTAGTCCATCTTACTTTATAAACACTATACACACATATTTCACAACAAAACATAAAATATCAACTTCTAACCAAAAACTAAATCTTGTAATTGGTCATTTTAAGATTCAAAACACTTACACTGGCTTATTGAACTTGTGATTTGAGAAAATTCCAGTATTTTATCAAATCTCCCCTTATTGCATTTGGTATTTATAAAGTTTTTATAAAACCAAGGTTATTTGACTTATCATTTGTATAAATTCCACTAAATCTCCCCTTATTGAAAAATTGGAATTTCATCGCTAGTATTTATCAAAAGTTATCTTATAAATCTTAAAAAAAGATTTATAATAAAATAAATTCCCACGCTCAAATCTAGTAATGTTTTAAGAACAAAAATTCAAAAATAATTAAATCTCAGATACTTATTTTGATAAACCATTCAAGATTCATTAACAGTATATCAGATTGGTTTGCTTATTTTGCAGTCCTCATAGGTCAAAATAGTAATAACAAAAAAATTAACAAAATATACGCAGAATTGAATAAAATTTGTCAATTTGTTCTTAAGTCAAAATTAGCTAGGGACGAACATTTTTATTTGGTAATGTTTAAACACTTAAGGAAAATGAGATTGACGTTAAATCCCATATATTAAGAAACTTGACAATCTCTCTTCTTTTTTTGACAAAATTTTCCTATTATATTTGAGTATATAATTTTCAGAAGAAATGAATACAGTTTAATTTCTTCCTAAAATATAGTTACTTAAATCCTCCGCAATTCTCGTTAGCATCAGTTACATACGATCTTCAAATTCCTATAATAATAAAATCAAGCGATATCGGGATTATTTAAAAAAGAAAAAAGCAAGAGGTTAATTAGGTTAAACAATGGGAGAAAGGAGTTGGTATAATACAAGAGAAGAGATAGAAGTAAAGTCTCCATCGAGACTAGACGGTATCGACTTAAAGCAAGAGAGTTTCCAACGTTGGTCTTACTCTACTTTCCTCCAAGAGCTTGGCAAGACTCTAAACAATCATCAGAAATCAATAGCTACATCGATAGTCCTATGCCAAAGATTCTTCACTCGCCAATCTCTGGCGAAGAACGACCCCAAAATAATCAGCATCATATGTATGTTTATCGCTGGAAAAGTCGAAGGGTCTCCTAGACCGGTTGGTGATGTCATCTCCAAGGCTTACTGGCTTTTACATGGCAAGGAACCATCGACGGAGGTGTGCGAGAGATTGAAGGGGACTGTGCTAACCGGTGAGAAGTTTGTGATGTCGACGTTAAGGTTTGATCTCGAAATCGAACACCCTTATGAACCGGCTCTGGATTGGGTTAGGAGATCGGTTAAGGTCGAGATGGATGCTAGGAAAGTGTCTCAGGGTGCGTGGAATTTCATTAATGACAGTTTAAGGTCGTCACTTTGTTTGCAGTTCAGGCCGCGTCAGATCGCTGCGGCTGCTATATATCTCGGCTCGGGCATTATGAAGGTGAAGTTACCATGTGATGGGGAGAAAGATTGGTGGCTAGAGTTCGGTGTAACGAAACGTCAATTAATAGATATTTGTAACCAGATGCTCGGAATTTACCAACAAGATTTCCTCGTTCCGGTTATACATAAGGACTAGACAGGGCTTGTAAGGTTTTAGTCTAAACCAATCAGACTCTATTTGATTGAGAACTTAAGGTGGTGAGAAACCCTGCGATTATTACAAAACGTCATAAATAATAACGAATTTCTTTGTAGTGTATATTTATCACAATTAGTAATTTGAATTTTTTTCTCAAACCAAGCCGAGCTTGAGGCCGAAGACTGGTCACCTTCTGTCGACTTCGTTCTCTCAAGCTTCAAAAACTTTTATGAATAGATCTAAATCCGGGTCCAACAAAGTAGATCCAATTAGATGGTTCTATACATGCAATGAGTGTGGGATGTGTTGCATATTGTGGGAGATTTCGACTAGGTTATGCCAGGTTCAGTTAATTCTCTCTAATGATGAAGTGGTATCTAACACCACGATTTGTAGACCATTTGCTCTGTGTGTAGTAACTCTCGATGCAAGCTCCCTTAAGGCTTCCAAGGCCGGAGTTGATGTAAAAGTTTGCTCTTTTATTTGTTGTTACATACTACGTTAGTGAATAGAAACTTCTTTTATCATTTATTTTTGAGTTAATTCTGTAAGAATGTTGTTGTACGTTCCATGTTATGAATCTCAATTGCACTCAAGATCGATCAAATTTGTCCCAATCTTTACTACAGCTCACACACTCTTCCTTTCTTCAGGAAGTCAGACGTTGTAACCTTAACTCGTTGTGGATATCCAATAAGCACTCCCTTGAGAGCTCGTGGCTGTGGCTCCCTTGATCTATATGACTAGAGAGCTAAATCTCTTCAAGTGTGAATATCCTGGTTATTTGTCAAGCTAAACTAGTTCTGCAGTATCACCATCATTTGCTGATGAAACCACTCTTGTTTATTAAGTAAGCAGAAGTTAGCTGCAGATTAACCAGCAGGGTTAGCCTAGTGGTACTTGAGAGAGCTTCGGTCTCAATACGGTCTTGGGTTCGATTCCCTCTGACCATCCGGGCTAACGTTAAATCGTAAGAATACATGGCGTGATGTGGGCTTTAGGGGAATAGTCGGTTGGTCACGGTTGTTAGAATTAGAGATTAAGAAAGTATTGTTGCTGGAGAATGAAGAACAAATAATAGAGAGAGAGAGACTTTGTGAGTTAAGAAGAATAGAAGGAGGAAATATTTTCCTTCATTCAATCACTGTGCATTACAGCAAGATAAGTAGGCAAGAGGCCTGAAATAAAAAATAATTAAAATAATACAAGTTGGTACACAACGGTCAAATGCACGTGGGGAAGAGCAGAAGAAGAGATTTTGAATTTGCCCATATGGTCACCTTCCATCGTGGTCAAGCTTTGCACCCATGGTCATCGTATTTGAGGTTGACCATTTGG